CAAAATGTGTGGCTATTATACATAAGGTGGGGGGTAGGAACCGCTAATTTTACGAACGGAGCACCGGAGGTGCCCAAAAACCCAGTGGCACCGGAGTGGCACCGTTCTCCGGTGTCACTAGAACCGGGCCGTAATTAAATTGACACTTACGAAACGTTTGGAGGGACTTTTAACCTATCCTTGATGACTCCTCCATTCATTAATTTGTATAGAATCGGTTGTAAAGAGTTTGAAGCCGTGGGGGAGACAACATCCTCGTAAGAGTCTCTCATAATGTTGTACAAATCCTGCATGTAATTAAATTTGGCTAACTCATTTGATTGTATTTATTTATTTATATGCCATGCAAATTTCATGTAATAATTAATGAAAATAAAATGAGGATCGATCGAGGCTCCAAAAAATATAATAATAATAATAGACATATAAAAATATAATACGTACCACAGAGTTGGTGTATTCACTTATGACACCTTGAAGTGTTAACGACAAATTTCTCGCCTCTGCAAACTGCCCACCATCTATTTTCTCCTTGATTTGCATGGCCATACTGTTTTTATTATCCATTCTTTTATTAGATCAAAATAATGCAAGCTAGACTAGTGCAATTAAAGAAATTTTGTTACTCCGTAAATGCCTTCAACAACTTTTTGATTGGATTGATTTCTTGCCTTCTTGAATTAACATTATGTTTGGTTCAAGAAATTTGAAAAGAAAAAAAATAATTTTCTTTTATTTTCGTCATCAAAACTAAAGAAATTTGGTCTTTTCTCTTCTTGATACATTTTACCTTCTCATTTTCTTATCCTTCCACTTTTCTTTTCTTTTCGATCCTTTCTAACCAAACAAAAGAAAAATAATTTCCTCGTATTTTCTTTTCCTTTGTCTACCAAATACAGTCTAAATTTATATGGAGTACAATACATTGGTATTTCATACTCTCTCCGTTCTCAAAAACGCTTCCTCTTTCATTTTTTCCACTTTCAACAAAACACTTTCACTTTCTTTTAAAAAACCACTTTACTCTTACTTTTTCATACCCTACCTATCACATCATACTTTTTCTCTAATAACACATTCATCACATCTTACATTTATCCATCACATCAGGGGCAAAATTGGAAGTGAACTATAATTTAACACTTCCTTATTTTGGCTACAAGTCAAAGTAGGAAGTTTTTATTAGAATGGAGGGAGTATATATACCAAAGGAAAAAAAGCTACTCCTTAAATTCAATACGAGTATAATATACTCCTTAATATGTAAAAAATCTGCCTAGCTAAATAAAGGCCTCGTTTGGCATGATCGTTAGAAGTTAGCATTAACGTTTTATCCAAAACGCTAACGATAATCGAAAATATTATTTTCAAACAAGACAAAAATTAAACATTCATGTTATATAAAAAATCAGACTTATATTTTTATCCGTAAAATAGAATTATTGCTTTGAGACATAAGTACAGAATTTGATATCATAATGGAGTATTAGTATTTTACAATATTTTTTTGATAATCTTCCTCTTTCGTTTTTTTTTCAATTCCTTAAAACATTTCCACTCTCTATTAAAGAACCACTTTTACTCTTACTTTTTCATACCCTACCTATCACATTATACTTTTTCACTAATAACAAAACTATCGCATCTTACTTTTACCCATCACATTAAGGGCAAAATTAAAAAGTCAACCAAAATTACATTTTATTTATTTTGGACCAAAGTCAAAATAGGAACGGTTTTAAGGAAGAGGTGAGTATATGCTAACTCTATTATTTAGACCTATTTAGGAATTTATGGGTAAAATTAAAACTCAACAAGGGGGTTTGAGAAATGGACCTGTTTGCTTTTTCCAAACCGTTTTCGTCAATCCTTGAAAAATCTTTCAGCACAGGTCCCCAAGATAACTGCAATTTTTATAAGGTAAAAGTCAAATAATGTTACTCCCTCCCTTCCCAATTTGATTACAAATTGTGGGTTACGGAGTAAAATTTCCTACTTTTTGAAATTATTTTATTTACAAATTGGTATATCAATAAAATATAAAAATTACATATTAAAAAACTACGTCAAAAGTTCTACAAAACAAGAGGTGACAAGAATATTTTATTTTATCAAATTCTTAATAAAATCGCGAAAAATAAACAAAAGTTATCGAGTGGAGACAGAAAAAAATTGTAATCTATTTAGGGACGGAGGGAGTATAATATTAGCCCCATGTCATCCTATGGCATGGGCTTCGATTACAGCACTTACAGTGTTCCGTTTAAAAAATTTATCGTTCATATTTCTTCGTAAACTCTTTCCCCATTCTGGCTGACCCAAACTTACCCTTGCACTCCCTTTAATTGCACACCACAAGATTTAGTTGACTTTGCAGTCAAATTTTGACTCCAAGGTGGGTGCAATTGACGGGGGTGCAAGGAAGGGTCCAAACCGGACCACGGTGAGGCGGTTTGCCGAGGATTTAGGATGGATAGGAATAATGAATTTTTTTCAAATGGAGCACCGTATAGTCCTCGGGTCATCTCATGACATTGAGAAATGTCATGAGAACCAAGATGATACTATTAAGGGCAACAAATCGGGAGCATTAATTACATCTTCTCATATAAAATAAAAGATTAAATATATTTTTAGCCCCGGCTAAGTAGATAAATTTTGTTTTTGGGCTCTATTATTTATACTTTATTTAAAAAGAGATGAATTCTTTGACCAATTTTCCTGCCCATGAATGTGTTGACTTTTTATTATATATGGAAAGGTTTAAATATATTTTAGGGAAGAATATAATGTTTATATGCAATTTAATAAATAAATATAAACATAAATACTACTCTGTATTATTAATCACGGTAAAATTTATAGGGGTGGTCTAGATTTATTTTTGGAAATTTTTTTATATATGGGCTTTAATAAATAAATATAAATATTTTCTATATATTAATCATTTTCAAAGTTTCTAGGGGTTGGTCTACATTTATTTTAGGAAAATTTTTTATATATGGACTTTAATAAAGACGTGTTAAAACTTTTTTTTAATATATGGAGAGGTCTAGACTTATTTTTGGAAAATTTGTTATATGTGGACTTTATAATTTAATTAATAAATAAATATAAATATTATTATTAATTAAGATCGAAATTTATAGGCGTGCATCTAGATATATTTTAGGAAAGTTTATTATATATGGGCTTTAATAAATAAATATAAATATTTTTATTAGTCAAGGTTAAAGTTTCTAGGGATGGTTAGATTTATTTTAGAAAAAGTTGTTATATATGAATTTTAATAAATAAATTAATAAATATAAATATTTTTATCAATCACGGTCAAAGGTTCTAGGAGAGAAATGCATAATATTATTTGTATTTTTTTTCATCATAGATATGCTTTTTATTATATATGGAGAGGTCTAGATTTATCTTAGAAAAAATTGTTATATATGGATTTTTACTAATATAAAGAGCTTATTATGTATTGAGATTAACACCACATCATTTAATTGCAGCGGGTGGTCTAATTTATATTTTAGGAAACATTTGTTACATGTGGACTTTAATAAATAAATAAATATACATATTTTTATTTATAATGATCAAAGGTTTTAGCTGTTGTCTAGATTTATTTTAAGAAAATTTGTTGTATATAGACTTTTATAATTAAATAAATATAAATACTTTTACTAATCCCAGTGAAAGTTTCTAGGGATGGTCACCATTTATTATAGGAAAATTGGTTATATATGAATTTTAATTAATAAATAAATATAAATATTTTTATTAGTCACGGTCAAAGATTCTAGAGGGAAATGAATAATATTATTTGTATTTTTATTTTTCATTATATATATGCTTTTTATTATATATTGAGAGATCTAGATTTATCTTATAAAAATTTGTTAGATATGAACTTTTTATTATATAATGAGCTTATTATGGAGGTGTTTCGTTGTGCAGGTGCTTATTGGATTTTTTCTCAAACTTTTACCTCCACTGTCTTTTTTTTAAAAATGATATCCTTATCTCACTTTGAGGCGTCTTTTCTTTAGTATATATTTTTAGAAATAGTTTAGTAAATGGCCTTGCAATTGAGTTTATTTTTAGAAAATATTCAGAAATAAATATTCAACATAGTTAATTTTAGTATAAATGGAAATAAATCAACGGATGAAATATATATTTTATTATAAAAACACTCATCTAAAAATGACAAGAAATAAATATTCAACATAGTATATTTTAGTACATATTTTAAATGAAAATAAATCAATTGGTGAAATAAACTAGAATGAAAAATTAAAAATATACTTATCTATAAATGGTAAGAATTCAAATAGTCTTGAATAATGATTGTTTTGTAAGGACAAAAAAAATAAGATTTAATAATGGGCAATATCTCATCCATTTAAAAATTTAAACTCATTCAAAAGATGTTCAATAAGTAAAAAATAAGTTTCACAATTATTATGAGATTGTAAAATAAATGTACTTTTTATCAATATTAGTATTACATATTCCACTGTGATAGAGATAAAATTTTCATAATCAATCCTTTATTGAAATTTTTATTCTATTATATATTACGGAGTAATTTCTATTATTCAATAATGATCTGAATATAATTTAATAATATAAATGGAGCCGTGCAACGCACGGGTGTGATATTAGTTTTCTGTTAAATCGTCATTATTATACTAGTAAAATTATTAAATTTTAAAATGATCCTTAAACATAGTTATCACTTCTAATTTGTTGAGGTAGCACATTTATATCATTCTGAGCACTCTAATCTTTTTTTCCTAATTAGCGCAGACACACAATTCAATGTATCTTTCATCGACTTATATCCCTAATTCCCAAATTTCATTATATTATCTTCCAAAAAATTAGGAATTTGAGATGTAATATGACAGAATACAAAATTTAGGGCATGAGGATTGTATCGGAAGTAGTAGAAATACAAGACTAGATAGTTGACTCATTGAGTATGAAATAAATTTACTATCTCAACAAATTTTATTTGTAGAACCATTTTCAAAATGATTTTTTTTGCAAGGATGAGTTAACAAAAAATTACAGGGACAAAAAGCAAATATCGTCTATTTTACACAGACAAAAAACATGTTTAACTCTAAGATAAATTTCAAAAATTAATTATTTAAATACTTATCTTAATATTAAATAAATGTTGTGCTCCGTATCAATTTTATAGGCAAATTTTATGGTGGACTTTAGGTCCACCCTGGCACCCTGGTCTTACATATGCACAAAATAAATATTTCTTTGTTACTTAAATAAGAATTTGTTTTTCAAAAAAAAAATTAAAAAATATGTCAAGAAGCACCAAAAACACACTCAATTTTATAATGTCACGTACCACAGAATCTTCAGGTGAGGTCCAAGTGCTCCCTAATGTAACTCCTAAGAAAAAACAGTACAACAATGAGAACGTAAACTTCTTTTTTTATTGTTAGGAAATCCAAACACATGTCACTAAAAAGATGAAATATGTTTTAGGTATCTGTAAAATTTGTAATTTTTTGGTTTCTATAACTTTTTTAAAGTCAACATTACAATTGAGTTGACTAGGGTTGACCTTCAATTGAGTTGAATTCCTCCACAAATCTTCGAGATTGAGCTGAAATTAGTCTTCTACATGGATATGCGAATCCAAAATCAAGGGTAAATTCTCTTGGGAAGATCCGTGGTACTATTCTTGCTCTTTGATTTTGGAATGATAGGGCTATGCGGCGGGGCATTGCCGGCGGTTGAAGATGTCCGATCGGACATTGAGGGAGTGGGTAGTGGGTGAGAGTGGGGAGGGCATAATTGGAAAGTCAATGTAAAATTTAACATTTCTTAATCTCCGTGCCTGGTCAAACCCTGAACATTAAAAATGGACTGAGGGAGGGAGTACTTGCTTTTTTATTTTGTTGAGATAACATATTTATTTTATATTAAATATATATTTTACTGCTTTCTAGCATGATTCTCATACTCTAAATTGTGTCATTGTTCACATTACATCTCCAATCCCCAAATATTTTGGAAATTGTCGGATCGGAAGTGGTAGAAATGTAAGACTGAAATGTTTAGTACAAAATAAATGTGCTATCTATTAGAGTGCATCTCACATCGAAAGTTCAAGAATAAAATAATCGGTATATGAGCTCTTGAGTTGAACTAACTAATCGATTAGATTAATATTTTAATGTGGTGCGGTCCAAATGTCTTATTGCTCAATCCAGTTACCACTACCCAATCCTAAATTCTATCACTATCTCAATAAATAAGAAGTACAAATTACTTTTAATGATTGTTATTGTAGATCTAACTCAATGAAAGACATGATTTATGACATGACATTTGTGTTAAAGATAATTAGAAATATAAGATTATGATGTTTAGTACGAAATAAATGTGATACTATACGTCAATGAATTAGAAGTCCTAATTACATTAAAGGGCCATTAATTTCAAAATAATTTTTCACTTAACAAAAAAAGGACCATTATTTTCACTTAACAAAAAAAGGTTACATGGACCAAAAATAAAAGTTGGCTATTTTACAGGAACTAAACTTATATTCACCCCTTCAATGAATGACATTAAACATTTTTGAACATTATTGATCAATCTATATGTATCAAAATATTCATCCAAATTAATTTTTACAAGTCAGACAAAATGAATTTTAATCCTCATCAATTGCATTTAATTTGCATTATATATTAAGAAATACAATGCAATGAAATTCTGATTTTTTTACAAGATAAATCTAATACTCCGTATTAACAAAAAAGATGCCTGCTTTTATTGAAGAAAACTTTTGCACAACAGAGGGATGATTTTTTTACAAGATAAATCTAATACTCCGTATTTATTGAAATCTATATGCCTGCTTTTTTTGAAGAGAAACTAATTTTACACCGTACCCCACAACTTAAATGTCATTGGCTAATGGTTCATAAAGAGGATGTTAGTTGGTAAACCATCGTATGCATCTATCCCTAATAAGCATAAATTTATAGAAACAAGCTAATAAGCTTCAAACTAGCAGTAGACTATGTAAGTTCTTACACATAGATACCAAATGTCTTCTGTCATGACCATGATGAAGATTCCATGTCAACATCTATCTTATGTGTAAATGTGGTTACACTAAAAACCCTTCCTCTTTCGATTTTTTTGGTTTCCACAAAACACTTCCACTTTCTATTAAAAAACCACTTTTACCCCTATTTTTTCATACCCTACCTATCACATCATACTTTTTCACTAATAACCAAACTATCACATCTTACTTTTTCCCATCACATCAAGGGCAAAATTGGAAAGTCAACCAAAATTTCACTTTCCTTATTTTTCCCCAAAGTCAAAACCGGAAGGGTTTTGTGGAACGGAGAGAGTACATTTTCTATTTTGGTTCGAGAAAGTTAAACAAGACAAATATTCTTGATATGTAATTTAAAATAATAAATTAATGAGAAAGAAAAGGCAACAACAAGAAAGAAGTAGGGAGTCTATATTATTACCCCCAAGTTTGAGTTTCAAGTCTCCGGCATTGAGAGCGGACAGTGCAAGGCTGGCGCCTAACCTTCCTCCATAGGACTCCCCAATTATGTGCAAGATGGCGTTCGACGAAGAAAGAGTGGTCAGGTTCCTGTTGAAAACTTGTACGAGCAGTTTTGTCAAGTCCTTCACGGCCTCCTCGTCCGTCTTCGCCAATAATGTCTCATCTTCCACGTAACTATACCCTGTTCCCACCGGGGAATCCTACACCCACCCAAAAGATGCCTTATTAATTAGTTTGGGGAAAATATTTTCTTGTCATCGGTTTCCATAAAGAAAATTAATTAATCCATATAGAGTAATTCATATAATAAATATATAAATAATAAAAAATATACTTTGTTATAGTCTTTTGTTTATTTAAATAAATATAGTTAGTTTATATAATTCGTTATAGAGTATTTTCTTATAAAATAAATAAATTAATAGAAATAAAAAATGAAAAGAAAAATTTTAGGTAGGAGTTCTTTATTTTATTCGTGAAATTAGGAGACTCGAAGACTAAGGCTCTGTTTCGTACGCCTGATATGATTGAATCTGATCTGAATTTTTGAAGTTCAGATCTGATCCGATTTGATTGGGTCTGATCTCATCTGATTAGATCTGATCTCATCTGATTAGATTTGATCTGATCTGATTGAGTCTGATCTGACCTGATTGGTTCTGATCTAATTGAATCTAATTTGATTGAATATGATTACTTCTAATTAGATTTGGTGCAAATGAATTTAAATCTGATTTAAATTAAACTTAAAATTATTACAAAATTTAATAGTTTTAAAGTATTACAATTCATATATACATAAAAAAATAAGAAAATCAGCTAATCATTGATATATTTAAACTTTTTTTAAAATATTAAACATCTTTTTGATATCACTACTTTTTTAATTTTTTTGAAAACAAAACAATCGGTATTAAAATAACCACATATTAGAAAATATGGATGCTATTCTACAAAAATATCACATTCTATATGCATATTACATAATAATATATTTCATGTTACAAATTAAAGATCATATAAAATTTCAAACACTAATATCCCTTTCACCTCTATCAATTTTGTCATATACTCACTCCATTGTATATTATATCATCTTAAAGTTTAAAAGTAAGTCTTTTTAAGTATAAAATATTTATGGTTTTGAAAACTAAGTTGTTTATAATTATTTTATATACAAGTATTTTAAAATAACTCTTTTTAATGTACGAAAAATACAACTTTTTAAGCTTTAACATTTCTTTCATGCATCATTCCTATCCTACAAGCTAAGCAATTATTGAGAACGATAGTTTGTAGTTGAAATATAATAATAATAATAATAATAATAATAATATAACAATAATAATAATAATAATATAACAAAAATAATAACAATTAAAATTATAACATTAATTAAGATTTAGATGTGTTTAGTTTTAAATAACGTAATATGATTTAATCAAATATTAGTAATGATTATTTAATCCTTGAAAAATATAATTATTATTTTCATATTTTTTCTTGATTTGATATTATTGGATTTGATCTTGTCTGGTCTGATCTGATTGGATCTGGTCTGATTTGATTGGATCTGGTCTGTTCTGATTGGATCTGATCTGATCTGATTGAATCTGATCTGATTGGATCGGATCTGATTAGATTTGATCTGATTTTAATAAGAATAAGTAATAAGTAGAACAAATAAGTCCTACAGAACGTACCGTAAGTATGAAATGAAGGCTAGGAATGTCCGCAAGAAAACGAATTTCCTCATAAGTCATAAGTAAACGGAAAATATTTTCCTATCTTTAGGAGACAATATTTCTTTAAAAAACTTTCTACCACTTTTTAGAAAGTATTTCCCCTTACGGAACTTAAATTAAGGGACTCTCCGGAAATAGAGTAAGGGGCTGTTTGGTAACTTCTGAATAGGTAAGTGCTGAACCAGTAAGAGGTCTGAACCATTAAGTGCTGAACCAGTAAGAGGTCTGAACCATTAAGTGCTGAACCAGTAAGAGGTCTGAACCATTAAGAGCTAATATATTGTTTAACTATTCAGAGGCAAATGTCTGATCAATTCAGATAAGAGCTCTTAACCATTCAGACTCTGTATAATACTTAACCATTCAGAGGCAAATCTCTTAACCATTCAGACATCTGAACCATTAAGAGGCTGAAACAAACAGTCTGAACCATTAAGTGCTGAATCATTCAGACATCTGAACCATTAAGAGGCTGAAACAAACAGCCCCTAAATTCTCCAAACGGTCATTTTTAATAAATTTTTTTGTAAATTAATCTTCAATAAATAATAATTATCAACATGATCATTTGTAACTGAGGTGTATTCCCTAGTAAATTGCCCTATATAATAAAATGACTATTATATGACAGTTAACTAAAGAGTATTTTTGTATTTTTCATCATCTAAATTATGAACAAATTCTCAAAGTAATCCTTACGAATTAAGTGATTGGCTGGTAGAGGAACAGATCCACCTTGAGTAGGCTAATGGACTCCATTTTGAGATAATATTTACTTAAAAATTATCTGTTTGAAAAATACTTAATTATAAATTTTTTTATAGCATACTTAAAGTCTAGATGATAGAAAATGCCAGAAAAGATTCTATTGACATCTAATAGACATTTTACATCTTAATTACAAAGAACCACATTGATAATTACTCCTTTCGTCCCATAATTTTGTTTTTTGAAAAGATTTAAGAGGAGTGTATTTTGGTATTGAATTTCCAAAAATGTCCTTCGATGTGATGGGTAAAAGTAGAATTTGATGGGTAGATTATTAGTAAAATGGTATGATGTGATAGGTAGGGTATGAAAAAGTAAGAGGTAAAAGTGACTTTTTAACAGAAATAAGAAGTTTTTTTGGGACGAATGAAAAAAGAAAGGATCGGAGAAAGGTTTTCAGGGACGGAGGGAGTATTACTTATTGAATATTAACTTGGAAAAACACTTTACTAGAAAGCACCTATCTTGAGAATCAATACCCACAAATAATACCACACAGACAAGGTGTTGTGTCAAGTAGTACTGTAGCACAACTCACATTTGATTTTTCCCCCCGTTAATTAGATAAATCTTAATCCTTCAAAAAAAAAAGAATTACTCTTGGTAAAGTATATATAAAGAAGCCTACCACAAATAGTAGATCTGCTTTTGCCAACCAAGTAGAAGTTCTAGGCCTCAAATTAACATCTTGAGGACCTATCTCTAGAAAATTGCCAATTCCAACTCCAGAAGCTCCCTAAATTAACACAAGAAGCCCTATGATTAATGTAAATACAGTGCAATAAATTTTTTACCACCATAACACCATAATCCTAGACTCACTAATAAAACATTCACAAAATTTATAAATTTTCCGAATATGCAATGTAAAGTAATGGATTATAATAATGGTCTCAAATAATTACAAAATAAATACTAAAATTCTGAAATGGTAAATTTATACATTTTGTGAGTGCTTTGTGTGTGACTTTAGCATTACTCTTTTAAGTAAATTATATGCCTCTATCCCAAAAAAAAGATGTTATGCACTTCTGTTTTATTTTTTTAATTCCTAATTTGTTGATGAAAATATTTCATACAAGTTGATCAAATGTCTCAGTTTTAGTTAAACAAACAATTAAGAGCATATTTTCTTCGTTTGATTTGATTGGATCAAACTTGAATAAATTTGATTAAAGTCAATCTAATACGATGATTTCTATTCAATTCTGATATATATGATATGTTTCTAGTTATATTTAAAGTAATTTCTAATCAAATCTGATTTCAACAATAATAAGTTTCAGGCAACATGCTAAGTTTTACCATTACTGTTCTTAAATACATCTTACTTTTACCTTTCATGTGATCAATTTATATATTAATTGTTTTTTTTTGAAACAATATATTAATTGTTTGTTATAATAAAATACTACTTCTACCCAGGTAAAAAATAAAGTACTCCGTAGTTTTTTTCACTTCTTATTTTATACTCCTACCAGGGAGAGATTTTCGCATTACCCATTACAAGGTTCCACCGATTTTATTTTCAATTTAGTTTATTTGACTTAGGTGTAAAGCTAAAAAATAAAATTTATATTTGAAAAAGCTACATAAAAAATTTTCCAAAACAAGATGTGACATGATCGACTATACTATTTTATGAAATGAGTGCTGAAAAAATAAGCAAATAAAGTGAATAAATCATTTTTGAACAATGAGTAAAATTTGATCATGTGGATAATATAGTGAAAATCTTTCCCAATTAGAGAAAATAGTTTTTTTTTAATTATTTAAATACTCCGTATAACTTTTTTTGTTACTCATGAATACGTGAATAAGTTGATTAAAAAATTAATACTCCCATCCATAATTTTAATCATACATTGTAAGTGAAAATGTAAAGTTTTTTTTTGAATATAAAAAAAAAATGTAAAGTTTTTTTTTTGAAAATGTAAAGTTTAAATAGGCAATAAGGGGAAAACACAATAGACAATACAATAATTCCTCCATTTGGACTATTTTGCCCACTTTTCAAACGTCATCAAAATGAAGTAAAGGGAGTAAAATAACAAAAAAAAGTCTTTGACTCAACTTGTTCAATAGTGACAACATTAAAAGTGGATGGGGTTCTATAATTCACGATCATTATTCATATGTTTACCAAGTAGAAAGTATAATAAGCAGAATATTCTTTTTGAATGAATAATAAGGATAGTTTTAATTTCAAATGTTCAAAAAGGAAAAATGAAGCACTAACGCGCTTTTCCACAATATTGGACCAGTTTTCAACGTATTCAAGAACATAGCCCTCCGGGAGGTTCTTATGGGCTTTGTTAAGAGCGATTTTGGAAACACGGGGGACGGGGGGATATCAAGAACATAGAAGGTGGGGAGAGGAGAGTAACTGCTTCTCTAGCTTCTTTTAGCATTAAAATACCATAATTAGTGGCAGATCCATAAAAAAATATGACTGGGGGCAAACGCACACTAAAGAGTATGGTTGGGATTCAAGGGTAGCGCTCCTAATTTTTTTAAAGCATTTGATAAACAAAATAAATAAATTTAATTTCAAACAAGTATTCAAATAAGAAAAAAAGTTTTTTTAAAGTAGAATAATAAAATATAAAATTTATCATAACATAATATAATTATGATATTTCAAATATTTTACCAATATATCTGGTTAAGTGATAAGTTTTTAATTTTAAACTAAGATTTTCTATTGTTTGTGGGGGGAAAATAATTTTTTTACCGGCTTCGTTCTTTTAACTTTCTGAAAAAAGTTATTTTAACAATTTATATTACGAGTAAAAAAAGTTGACCGGGGACGAATGTCCCCATATTCATACATGGAGATCCGCCCCTGACCATAATTATGGGTATTTGAGTAAATTACACTTTTTCAACACTCTTTACAAATTACAAAAAGTTAACTTTTTTGAGAAGACTTATTTGGAACAATGAAATATAAAAGAAATAATAATAATTAATTTAGAAGCAGAATACTCTGAGTAATTGTTTAGCGAATATGATAGGCATGATCACTTACAGGCCCACCCTGCAACCAGAGAATAATTGGCCAGGGCTTGTTTGGATCTTCGACTCTGTTTGGACTCTTGTACAAACACCAGAACATATGTGCTTCTGTTTTGCCAAACACACCACCGGTGCATATATGATTTAAATAACCCCAACAATAAATAAATAAATAACTTACTGTTTTTAATCTAACAATAGCTGAAGAACTAATTAATTAATTAATTACTTGGTCGGACTTCAACAAAACCAGAAGCTGGTGATAAAATAGGATTATTTTGGGCTGTTTGAGCATTGAGAAGCTGGGAAGAAAGCAACAAAGAGAACACCAAACAAGAAAAACTGATATAATTATTGTTAAACTTTTCCATCTCTCTCAAACCTGCTTAATTAATTACCAGATCGACTGTGGAAATTTTGGCTGAAAATGGCACTATTTATAGAGAAAGTGTAGGCTGGGGGCACCAATGTCCTATTTACTTTGATAGACGTGTATGGTTTCCTCGTCTTTTCAATTAAAAAAAATTGCATTGACATTTTTTGTCAATGTAAATCATCGCACTAACATTACACTAGCACAAAATATCGATGCATGTCTTTGAAGTATAAAATGGGGTACAAATGTTGATGTACAAATAGCTTAATCCTTTCTTCAATTTATTGTTATTACATACTCCCCCTGTCTTAAAAATTTTTCATGTTTTAACTTTTTTGGTCATTAATTAAACATAATCTAAAGTATATCCTAAGATGAAACCAATTTTATTGAAGCTATATTATAATGAAAATCTCATAGTTTATGGTCAAAGAGTGTCACGGTTTGACAAATAAAAATCAAAACATGTAAGATTTTTAGGACCAGAGAGAGTTTTACTTAGAAAAAAAGACTAAAATATTATTAAAACATTGAAAATATACCAAAATAGAACTTCTATGTTTTTATTCCCGAAATAGGAGTTAAAATCCAATTACATTAACAAACATGGTCATGTACATTTTTACCAAAATGTATAATAATGCGCACACGTACAATGTCACATTACAACCACATTACCAGGCCAAGTCCTATTTCGAGAATAAAAACATAGAATGAACTCCTATTTTGGTAATATTTTAATGTCTTAGTCCTATTTAGGGTGATTTCTATATTACTTATTCTTATTAGATTCATATCAAATCAGACCAGATTAGAAACAACTTTAAATATAATTACAATCAAAATATAGGATTTCATTATCTGTTAGTGTGAAGAGGTATTAGCGTATGAGTATCGGAATCATGAAGGCCAACAACATAAGTTTCGAAACATGGAGGTAACAATGCACATTTACAAAATAACATGGGGTATTTATTGATGCGATAAACACGAATTTAGAGTATAGGATTTCACTGTCTGTTGTTTATTGAATAAATTTTTGTTCCCTTCCCTACTCAAGAAGGGATGTATTTAATATTTATACATGGGGGTGGAGCTATAATAGGGATCCTAAATCTGTGTATCTTGCTCGCAGGATTCGATTCTATGTTGTTTTTTTTTTGTTTGAATTTTCTGCTATATGTGTTTTGTTCAATAGATTAAGAAATATCTTCTTATTTCCTTGGCAAAACAATATTAACTGAAAACACTTAGGTACATTTGTGTTGGAGTGAATATATATATATATATATATATATATATATATATATATATATATATATATATATATATATATATATATATATATATATAAAGAAACAAAACTAATAATTGTGTGATGTGGTCTCTTTAATTTTTTGGTTAGTCCCGTTCTTTAGTAGAGAACAATGTAATGTCTTCGATTTATGATTAAAAAACGTAAATTCTACTAAAGAAAAGAACAGTGTTGATTTTTGGATGGGATGCATCTTTTGTTTTGGAACAATGCAATAATTTTGAAATTTTTGGAGTGCATATTTATGTAGGTGTTTGTATCTTCGTTTTGGAACGATGCAAACTACGGATTAGACAATTTAATTTGTTGTGTATGCATGTAGAATGCTATTGAATGCATGACATTTTTAAATTGGAAAATGCTAGAGTGCCACCACAGAGGTGCTACCATGGGTGCACCCACCCATGCTTCACACAGACAAACACAGACGATAATTGTTTGTGTCGCACAGACAATTATCGTCTGTGTTTATTGTAAGAAGCATGGCTGCACCCATGTGGTGGTACCCTAGCATGGTCTATATATCAATCACACTTATTGACACTTATAACAAGTATCAAATATCAATAGTGGTAATGAGACTTATGCCCCTTTAAAATGTTAAAATGAGGACGATACTTATGATATTGTCCAACAATGTCATGGGACGACTTAGAGACGCTCTGGTGCCCCGTTCGTAAAATTAAATTGACAGTTCCTACTCCCCTAACCTCTCCGGTAATCCCTCCCACCCCGCCACGACCCGGACACACCCCCACCCCCTTTAATAGCTTGTGACATTTATAACTGTAAAAAAAAAAGTAATGACACTTGATATGTCATATTCCCTCCATTTCTTAAAATCATCCATCTTTCAGTCTTTTTGTTTTCTTCATTTTCTATTAAAAAATCACTTCTAGCCCTATTTTTTTCTTACCATACCTATCAGATCATATTTTTTCACTAATAATTTATCCATCACAATTTACTTTTACTCATCACATCAAGAGCAAAATTGGAAAGTCAATTTCAAATAATCCTTATTTTTGACCAAATAAGGACACTTTTTAGAAGGGTCATCATATATTTTGATGATAATTTCAAATGTCATAAGAGACTTATAAAAAATGTCATTGCTAGATTCTTTTCTTGCAGTGATAATTTTTTTTTTCTTCAAAATATTAAAACAAGACAGTGGATGACTACACTTTTGAAACGTCAAAATTGAATTTTAATTTACAAGGCTGGATGACTATACTTTTGGCCGAGACCAAAGACTCCAACTCCAGGCTCCAGCTAGTCATGTGCTTTTTCCCGTTTTCTTTTTTTACACAACTTTTTTTTCCCGTAACAGTGCCGTGCTTGACCGGAGAGCAGCCCAATTAATTCAATAGTTCTTCCTAAAATGGCGTTTCTTGCCTCTCCAGACTCCAGTGGAATCAAATGGTTCAAATGTATTTAAAAAAAAGTGTAGAAATCACCCTAAAAAGACTAAAACATCGAAAAAGTACCAAAATCGGATTTTCATGTTTTTATTTCTGAAATAGGAGTTCGCAATGTGGTTATGCGGAGGTTATGTATGTGGTACTACACGCGTGCACATTAATATACTTTTTGGTAATGTACATGACCACGTTTGGTAATCTAAATGCGTTTTAACTCCTATTTCGGGAATAAAAACATGAAAATCGTATTTTAGTATATTTTTAATGTTTTACTCTTATTTTAATCTTTTTTCTTTGAAAGTAGGCAAATTTTGAACTCCTCCTCTCGTTTTAGTTGTGGGAAGCTCATTTTCCAGAATTCATCAAAAAGTTTATTTGAGTTCGAGCCCCAACATAGGCGGAAGCATTGCCTCTATGTTCATCATTAGGTTGAGAAAATATATGAACAGATAATATATTGTGATAGAGTCAATAACGTTTAAAAAAATAGGCAAATTTTTAAAGATTGACTCTATTGAGATGACAAGTTTTGGATGAAAAGCCTTAAAAATTTTGAAAGGAATTGCAAAATGTTAAATTTTAGTTTTCCCACTCAAATAAACATGGTTGAATGTGAAGCCATGTTCAATTAGCAATTGAGTGAAGAAATGAAAGTGAAATCGGTGGGTTACATTTTTTTTCCTTAAAAAAAAATCAAAAACATTTACCCACTTTGTTAAAGAGAGCACAGTTTTAGGTAACTTTTGTCAAATTGAGTAAGTGACATAGTTGTTTCCACAACTTATATATAGTGATCCCAAATGTCATACTAAATAGATTTTAATTTTTTTTCTATCCTCTCGATAACTTTTGTTTATTTGTCTGTTTTCATTGAATATTTGAAAAAATAAAATATTCTTATGACCTCTCGCTTTGTAAAACTTTTGATGTAGATTTTTAATACTCTCTCCGTCCTGGAAAACATGGAAGTTTTTATTTTGAAGATGGATTTAAGGGGAGTGTATTTTGGGATTGAATTTCCAAAAATGTCCTTTGATGTGATGTGTAAAAGTATGATTTCTAGATAGATTATTAGTAAAAAGGTATGATGTGATAGACTGATAGGTAGGGTATGAAAAAGTAGGGGTAAAAGTGACTTTTTAATAGAAATGAGAAATGTTTTTTGGGACGGATGAAAAAAGAAATGAGAAAGGTTTCTGGGACGGAGGGAGTATATAATTTTTAGTTATTACTCATGTACCAATTTTTAAATAAAATGATTTCAAAAAATAAAAAGTTTTGTCTCGTAACTCCCAATTTGTAATCAAACTAGATTCATACCCGTGCGTTGCACGGATAAAAACATGTCCCAAAATATAAATTACAAAATATTTGAATGTAATGTTTAAGTAAAAACAAAAAATTAGTGAATTACTCTCTCCATCCTAAAATGTGTTTCTCAGTTAATTTTCACACGGTTAAACTTTAATCACTTTTTTTACCTATTTTCATTAGGTATTTGATAAAATAACATAGTCTCTGCAACACTTGTTTTGTAGAACTTTTGATGTAATTTTTAAATATATAAATCGAAATTTAATTTTACACCTACAATCAAATATATTGAATTGCAAATAAAGTCAGTCAAACCATATAAACACGAACAGGAAGAACATTATAGAACGGAGGGAGTATATAAATAGAGATTCACATAGAGTTAACTATTGTATCACATCTCAAATTTAAATACAAATAATTACATAACATTTGATAAAACATCTACATTTTATGGAAAAAAAATGTTTATAATACTTCTACTCTTCTAGAGAGTGCGTGTTGTCTATCGTAATTACAAATCAAAATATTTAAACTACTGTAATTTGTAACTTTTGAATTTATAAGATATAATTGTCCATAATTTGAATATAGGTGTTTTTAAGAAGGCCTAAGTGAGACTAATTTGGTTTTAAGCTATCGCGCAAAGCCTATTCATCTTGAGTATTTATATTCAAAGAAGTGTTGGAGCATTTTATTAATTTATTAATACACAAAATAAAAGCATTCTCCCTGATTATATTTTTCATATAGGGAGCACTACGTTTTTTACGAAATGAATGTGGTGTATAGATACCAATAAGAATATTTCAAACAAACACACGAATATGATTTTCAAACAAATACAGGAATATAATTTGAGTATGTAATCCATTTATTTTAACATCAATTTCTTAATAATATTAGTGATTTGAAATACATTCTAATTGTGGCTGATTTTGAGGTTTGTTAACATCAATTTTATGACAGATTTGAAT